GGGAATTCTGGGAGTTGAAGTCCACCCATCTTAAAGTTGCTGAAGTTGAGGAACCCTGATCCAGAGGATGGAGAATGAAACATAAGGGGTCTTAGTTGAGAGAGAATTGTAAGCTACCTCAGAAATTTCAGCTGCCAGCAGAGAGGAAACCATTGAATACAACCTATGGTTTTTCTTAACTTGCAACACATTGCATTAATGAGCAGTACCAGTCTCGTTCCACTGAGTCTGTGTTGCTTTCTAGAAACACAAGGGGACGTGTAAAGGTATAAAACAAGATACAGAGGAACTAAGGCCAAAACCTATATAATGTACACAAAGATCATGAAACAAGTTTCATGGTACCAAATAAGATTTATTAAGCTATAATTAAACCACAGTACAGCAAAACTGCAAATACAGTTGTAGAGAGCTAGATTATTCCAACAAATATCTGTTTAATAATCAAAGTTCACAACAGCATGGCTGCTCACAAATCACATTTGAAGCTTTTGTAAAGAAACAGCTGATCAATTTCACAATTTTTCAAGCATTACTTCATGCCCAAATATTTGGCAGGAGACCATTCTATTCCATGTTCTCTCGGTATCCTTCAAGAGCCAATTACCTAGAAGAGAAGCAAGTACTCTTACAAGGTAAATCAACAGATCTTTGCCTTGACCTTTTCATTTCACCAACCCTCAATAGAGATTTAGAGCTGGTTTAGCTGCTTATTTAGTACCTGCCTCCCATGGAGAGCACTCTTCTAAACAGTGACTGGAATTTATTACAGGGATTTTTTCCTTTCAAACCATTATTCAACCTCATCTCCAATTAACAACCTTCCATTTAACCATCTTAAATGCCACACAAGGGACCCATCCAACTACTTTTGATTCACAAATGTGTCTCCTCTTGTACAGATCACAGAGCACTCCAGATAGCCCTGATATCCTACAGAGGATTTCCATATAAGGTCACCGCGTTAAGAGCTGCCTGTTCACCAGCACACAGCTCTCTTTGAAGTAACCTTCTGTACAGGATCCTCCACAGCCTTCGTTTTTACCTTCAGCTTGAGCCCACTTTCAGCCAACCTTGCAGATTCCAGCTGAGATTTCCTCGTGGGTATTTTGAAAATGGCTGATTGCTGAAAACAGGGTAAAACGTACAGTAAGCATCAAGTTATGACAGTGGGTCCTGCCCTGATTAATAGGTCTCACCATTTTAGATGAGAAGTTTGACAGCAAGAGGAGCTAAGATGCAAGGGAGCACACAAAGCTACAGACCTCCTTCAGTTTGCAGCTTTTAGATTCTGGGTCCTCAATTTTTAAAAAATTGTCTAATGTTCCCAACAGATTTGTTGCTACCATGGCAGCAATGTAAAAATCTAGAGGAGTTACTATGTGGTCACGTCCACAGCATACCAGAAATGAGATTTTTCTAGCAGCCTTGGTAGAGACCAAGTAAGATATTATGATCTAAAATAAAGGTATATACCAGTGTTTCACAACCTCAGCAACGTTAAGATGTGTGGACTTCAACTCCCAAAATCCTCCAGCCAGCATGCTGGCTGGAG